TGGCGTTAGCAGCCGCTCCGTCTTCTCCTCCTCAGGACATTTTCCTGGACTTCCTCGGTTCTCTCTGCTGCCGCTCAGTGGCTTGCTCTGTAAGCCCGTCATTCTGCAAAATCCTCCTATGTCTGGAAGAGGATTAGCAAAACCACCCGGCGTCACTGCTGTTTAACATTCGGGCAATGCAGCGAGGCCTGTGCGAGTTATCAATCATCTTTCCCAGATGGCAAACGGATCTCTTTTAACCAGAAATGGAGCAGCGAGCATCTGAATTCATCACCAGCACAACATTGAGATTTGCATCTATTTTCAATGTGACATCCTTAATGAGCTGGTGTAATGAAAATCAGCATCTTAGCCTCATGTTGTCGACTGTTTTTAGCAGTGCTGGGAATGCAGACCTGGGATTGAAAAAATTGTCATTACACAAAATCTCCTATCTTGAAACATTTTCTTTTTCTTTTCGTGGTATCTGGGGTTTGGACTCACGGATTTTGCACTGGGATATACCCCCAGGCTGGGCTCAAGTTTGCAGTCAGTCCTCCTGTCCTAGCCCCCAAGAGTGCTGGGATGACAGGTGTGTGCCACTATGCCCGGCACAATTTGCAATTTTCATATACTCTATACTTTCTTTTTTGCCTCTAATACCCGAGAGTTCTATATTCAGAATGGGCTAATGGGTGAGAATAAAAATCTAGCAGTTTGTTGATGTCTTGTTTCTTTTTTTTTTTTTTTTTTCCGGTACCGGGAATCGAACTCATGACCTTGCGCTTGCCAGGCAGGCACTGTGCCGCTGAGCTAAATCCCCAGCCCCTGTTGATGTCTATATTTGTTAACATCACCATTTAGGGTTCCCTTTTATTTGTTTGCAGAGACTTTAAAATCAATGAGTTCTCTATTAGATTTTTTTTTTTTTTTACAAAGTCTTGCTATATAGTTCAGGCTGGCCTTGAACTCACTACTGGAGACTGGTCTCAAACTTGAGGCAGTCGTCCTGCCTCAGCCTCCTGAGTGCTGAGATTACAGACCTGTACTACCACACTCAGCTGTTGTTATGGGATTGAAGCTGACGAGGTAAAAGAATACATTTTGATACCAGTGCCCACTTCATGTTTCCCAAAGGTCTGTGAGGTCTGGCCTTTGCTAGTCGTCATCAAATTAAATGACAGCCCTGGATGGTCGCTTCTGTGCACTTGGCGTGAAGGGTAGTTGTTATGGGAATTGTGATTCCCTCACTCACATTTCAGGTCCTAGTCCCCATGGCTTCAGGCTCGACTGTGTTTGGGGACAGGGCCTTTAAAGAGGTGACTAAGGTGGAATGAGGTCATACGAACAGAGCCGAATCCAGCGTGCCGAGCGTCCTTAGGGAAGGGGCGACCTCGTGGAACACAGCAAGGCTGCCCCCTGCAAGCCACGGCAGGGTGGCTTCGGGAGAAACCAACCTTGCAGACACCCTGGTTCGACCTCTGGCCTGCAGAACTGTGGGAAATCAATCTGCGGCCGAGGCCACCCTGCTCTTCGCTGTCTTATTACAGCAGCCCCAGCAAAACCTACAGGGGTGCAGACCCCAGGACAAGGCAGAGTTTAAACTAGTTTTCTCACTCTTACTAATTAGCAATCGACTGCTGATAATTATCCCTGTGGGGGCCAGGGATATAGCTCAGTGGCACAAGTGCCTGCCTGGCAAGTACAAGTCCTGAGTTTGATTCCCGGTACCAAAAAAAAAAAAAAAATAGAGTAAATGAAATTAGCTGGGCATGGTGGCACACGTCTGTAATCCCAGCACTCGGGAGGCTGAGGCAGGAGGATCGTTGCGAGTTCCAGGCCAGCCTGGGGTACAAAGAGAGCTCAAGGCCAGCCTGAACTGCATAGCAAGACCCTGTCTCAAAAAGACAAAAAGCCAGAACCTGTGGACGGAGGGCCTGCCTCCTACCCAGGGCGAGGGGGACACAGCCTGAGTGAACGTGCTGCAGCACACTGGCCAGCATGCTCGAAATGCAGAATCAAAGCCAGAGTAGCCAGCAACTCCCTCCGGCCCGAGACCGCTGCACCCTTCCCCAGCGACGGGGTGGCGAGAACAGCTGCCCAGCAGCCTGCTAACATCTGCACGCTGGCAGCAGGAAGGAGGGCTGGTGAACCACGGGAACTTCACCACACAAGGGGTGTGAGCGAGCCACGGGAGAACACGCAGTGAAACGGCACGTGAAGCCACAGGCTAGCTTGCAGGTCCCAGGAACTCATGTCAGTCCTCTGAAAAGAAGCGGCCATGCGAATCACGTTTATCGTCCTCAGGAGGGAACTACGGAAAACACAGGAGGTGCAAACCCCCAAATACATCTAAAGTCACCCAGGGGAACGAGCAAGGGCGAGGGCGTCCCTGCGTCTGCTCAGGCTGCTCCTGCCCTGCCCACCTTGTCCGTACCCTGGGAGCCCCAGCCGAGGCTGTGTCTTCCATAGCACCCGCCCGACTGACTGCACAGCCCGGCACGCGGGTCCCCGACAGAAGGACGCTGTCACTCCGCCCACCTCACACACCGCTGCGGTCCACTCCGCACGCCCCGAGCGAACGCCGTCTGCTGCCTGACTGGCAGTCACAGGATAAACCAGGACTGACTCAGAAATCTGCCTGCTGGGCTCAAATAACCTCAGAATAATAGAGATGGAACGTCCAGGCGTATTCCTTTTAAGATAAAAACTTTATTGTACAATTTTATAAAGCAGCTTTACATGAAGCACAAACAATCCATTTACTCTGTATAGAAACAAAATACCTTTCCATCTGCAAAAAAATCAAGTTTTGCTGTATAGAAAACTAACGTGTGCACATTGTGCTTAAACTGCAAAGTCTGTACAGCTTTACAAAGGACCACCCTTCAGCAGGGCATCCGGTAAACACTTTATTGCATATTCAACACATGGTATAGAACCCACATGTACAATGGAGGAGGAAGAGGAAAAACAACTAGAGGGAGATGGACATAGCAGCTTTCGGAGAAAGTTCGCATACAACAAGGAAAGGGACCGCTGCTTCCGGAGCATTGTGCTTGGGTCGGTTCTGAGGTTGCTCCCTACGCTAGGTGGCTCTTGACAAAGCCTTTATGTACATTATCTCCTGAAGGGTCAACGTGACCTTCACCTGGAAACTTTTGGCTGGTTTTACAACGGAAGTGGCTATAGATTTAACATTAAAGCTAACTTAGCGCAAAAAAAAAAAAAAAAGAGACCCAATACCTATAATCTTAAAACAAAGAAACATGTTCTCTAAGCTCAGAATAAGTAAACGTTTTACAGGATTTGGAACCCTGGGAAATGCTGTCGCCGTTTACCATGCGGTACAAGGTTCAGGCAGGGTTCAGCCTGCCCACGTCAGCCACCCACTGCTATAGTACAGGTTCTCCTGCTCGCTGGGCTCAGATAACCCCAGAATAATTAAGAGAAGAAACGGGCAGACACGCTGAGGTGTCCTGCAGCTTGATAAGCCCTGGTCTGTACTGACAATGCTGCAATGGGTTCAACTCGTCCTCTCCAAAACTTCTGAGATCAAAAGGCAAAGCGAGTTGCTGCTGCAACGTGGGAGGCAGTGTAAAATCAACAGCAACAAAACCGCAGTGCCATTTCTGGGTCAAAAGCCTTTTCCTCGGTTGGTGGAGAAGGACAGCCGCACTGTTAAGGCACTGGGATTTGTCCCAGGAGCAGGGCGATTCTGTTTCTACTGATTCCCCTCATCTGAAGACCAGCACACAAATGCAAAGCAGAAGTCTGCACACTTCTAAGTAGTGATATATAGGGCCGGGTGTGGTGGTGCGCACCTGTAATCCCAGCACTCGGGAGGCTGAGGCAGGAGGATTGTTGCAAGTTCGAGGCCAGCATGGGCTACAAAGTGAGCTCAAGGCCAGCCTGAACTGCATAGCGAGACCCTGTCTCAAAAAGATGAAAAAAAAAAGTAGTGATATATATGAAGTCTAAAAGGCTCCAGGGCCAGAGAGATTCTAACATTGGCATTGAAAATAAAAGTGAGGGGGTCCTCATTTCCATTGTTGAGAGAATAAAAGGTGGACATTCAAATGCTGCTGAGACATCTACTGTGTAAGAACTACAAAGCTCGAAGGCTAGGGGAAACCTAAGAACCCACAACTCTTTGCGTTACGGGCAAAATGAAGAGTCATCACATAAACTGGGAGTTGAAGCTTATTTTTCTGTGGCCAGCTTAATATTGTCCTCAGCATTAAGGCTGTCTCTTCCTCACTCCTGCCCCTCTTGCTGCGGATAAATATATTTAACGTACATACCACACACACATATGTATATATATGTATGTGTTTTCCAGTTTTAAGCAGTGCTTGCTAGGCTGAATTCTATTAAGACACAGTGTGTAGCACGTAACCCACCTGGCCCTTACAGGTATGTCCGAGCGAGGTCACAGACACACTGCATTGTGTTCCGGCCCTTGAAAATGTGGGGTCTCGTACTTCCAAGCGGCACGGGACGGTACCACTTCAGGGTACTATTACACCCTAAACAAATCCTGCAGCAATCCAACCCTTGCTGGTTTGAACTTAACGCCTGAGGCTTGATGGACACTGCCCCAGCATAACGGCTATGAAACCTACTTACGTGAGGTTCCGTAGGGTCCACACCCTAAAGAAAGATCTGAGTATTAATGGATAGTAAATTAAGTAGCATCTCTTTCATTTAATAGCTGGAATAAATTAAAATTTAATTTCAAAGAAAAAAACAGCGGAATCACAATTTGGAAAGTGATAGTCAAGAATAATCTAGGCAGAAAAAATTGTGACTCATATACGTGATATTTAACCCACTATTTTTCCTTAAAGGCGGAAAGTCCTATAAGGGTGGGCTTAAAATTACTAGCTCCTTCCCAAAGTCAGGATGGTAATAAATATTCCACATAATGTCCCCCTAAAGTAGATAAAACTCTCAACGCATAGTCTAAAATTAAATACAAAATTCTCAATAGTGAAAAATCACCACTTTGGGGACTGAGGGACAGACTGATTATCAAACGTTTACTGATTGTAGATCAAGATTCACAAAACAGGTAATATATCTGTAATTTCTTGTGCAGTCACTAAGTTTCATTTTAAGTTGTGCTTACATTATAGAACTGTGAAGCCTGAACACTGTGTTTTTAATTTACACATTGCGAAAAAAACCATAATTTGAAATATTCTCCGTATATAACAAGTTGAACAAATGCAACAAATTCTCATTCGCTCCCAAGAAACGAGTCCACAGGAGAGAAACGTGTTTTTCAATAGTTGCACACAGTCCTCTAAGCAGGCTACAAGTACACATTTACTGTATTACAGCGGCATTGTTTTAAAGTCTGCGCTCAATATAAATAGGAATAGTCACACTGTAAAAGAGCTCCGTACTAAGTTTTCAGGTTAAGTGCGAGGCAGCCGGCCAGGGAGAGCTACTTACCGTCCTCTTCCCCGTGTGGTCGCGGAGGGACTGGACAGCGCGCATGACCATGGAGAGGAGAGGCGAAGACGGACGCCTCTATTCAGCCCGGACTCATAAACACTCTCTGTTCTAAATGCCACCTACTTTCCAAATACCCAGCCACGGAATGCAATTATTTCAGAAGAGTGTTTTTAAGGATCACTTATCCCTTTGCTATCGCCCACAAAACCTGGTACACAACCTTTTAACACGCGCCCGCGCTCCGCTGAGACAGCGCCCGCAGCTCCTGTTCACAGGAGGCTCCATGCGGTTTTGGTCGTGAGCTCTAGTTGTGCTTTGCCCTGCTGCCTTTAAGGTAGCTCTTCCACCTCCTGACGAATTCCTTGAAGACAGGGGACTCATCGATGGTACTGAGCAGCTGCAGCTGGTTGATGTGGGTGGTGTGGTAGTCCCAGCGGGCCAGGTTGGGTGCGATGCCCAGCATGAAGTGTCGGAGGTCGTAGATGGTTCCTGAGCCAGTGTCGTACAGAGGCAGCATGGCTTTGAGGGACTCCATGCCGCGCTCGTACAAGGACTTTGCCTCTTTGCCCAGCTTTTCCCCTGCAGTTTCTTTTAAGTCATACAGCCCGATTAAGGAATACATAAAGCCATTTAGAACGAAAGAGCTAGGGGTGGTTGGATACTCTTCATACCAGTCATGCTTATTCATAAACACAGCTTTGACTCCATGCTGCTCCGACAGAAACTTGTACGGGGCCGTTGCCCTTAAAGCTGAATTGAGGAATGTGTGGTCTTTCGTTAACAGATACGCCCTGACCAGCGTAGACATGGCTTGCCCTTGGGCCATGGCCGAGTACCAGCCTGGCTCTAGGGACTTAAAGCCTTCCCCTAACTTGCGGGTCACCATAATGGGCCAGCCCCCTTTCTCGTCCTGGTTCCTTACCAGCCAATCACTGGCAGCGAAGAATGCGGCCATGTGGGCTGTGGTAGAGATGGTGATATTGTCCAGGAATCCCTTCCCCTTCGCAATCAACCTGACCACCTTTCTGGGCATTATTTTGGTTGGCTTGACAGCTTTTGTGTTGGACAGACCCACTCCTTTCCTGAGGTCTGTGACCAGGTCCCTGGTCACCGTGCTCCATGAAGTTCTGGGCCCGATGCCATAGTACACGTCTCTTTCCTTAAAAGCAATCAGCTGCATGTTCGAGACATAATGCACAGTGAAAAGCTGGTTCTTTTCTGTGGTCTCCAGAACCACGGACACACTCCCATTCGTCAAGAACTTGAGGTCAAATGAAATAATAAAATCCTTTGTGTTTCCCAGTTGCAAGGACACACCTTCGCTGGTTTCTGCAGAGGGGACAGGCCAACAAAGAGTTGTTAGAGTCCAAGCACTTTCGCATTAAGTAACTGCAACTTATCCTTGGCAGCACTGCCTGTATGAAATTATAACAAATTATATAAATTCTCTAGCTGGGTACTTTGCATATCAGATTATTTTTATTCTTTACTAAATTATTCATTAACAAATGATAGAGCCAGTGAGTTCCTGATGGTTTCTGAGCATTAGACTAAGAATTCTTTCTTTTTTTTTTTTGTCTTTTTGGACTTGGTTTCCTATTCTACTACTAGTCTTGGGAGCACAACATACACTCCTTTGAGTCTCCGTTTCCTCCCATGAGAGATAATGTTACCCTGCAGGGCAACTGTGTGAATTTATAAAAAGACAATAGCTTGAAACACAGTAATAAACGACAGTGATTATTATCACTAACTATCTCATGCTTCTGAAACAGTAAATTTTAGAAGTTGCTGCTTTATCGGACAAGTTATTCAACAGGAAACCCTTCTCACATAGCTAGATAGCACGACGGCAGCTGACTTTCAGGAACATGGTTCTCTGAATCTTACTCATCTATTGCTACTAAGAAAAGCAACTGAACATATTGAGACAAACGGCAGCAAGAACAATAACTAAATACGTAATACCAATCTGAACTCCCAAAGAGAAGCAGCAATCTTTATACTTAAATTTCAAAAACATACACCCGTAAATGATCTCATTTGATCCTTAAAATCTGAGGCTAGGGGGCTGGGGATTTAGCTCAGCGGCAAAAGCGCCTGCCTGGCAAGCGCAAGGTCGTGAGTTCGGGTCCCGGTACCGGAGAAAAAAAAAAAAAAAAAAAAAAAAAAAAATCTGAGGCTGATACAGCTGCAATGATTCTTTTCCTTTTACAGACGGAGGTATGCTAGTGTGGCAAGATTAAATGGTTTTCCCAAGGCCAGAAGCTAATTAGTAGTAGAGCAGGGTGTAAAATCCAAGTTTCCCAGATCCAGGTTCGAAGACTGTCAGGGAGACAAACGATATTGGGAGTGTCACCCTTACGACATCAGTCAACGAGAAGGTTATTTCTTAGGCACAGCCATAAAATCAGATCTCGGGGTTGGACAGTCTTGGGGGAGGTCTTCAGTACGTCACCAGGAGGGACGATGGGAAACGTGGCCCTGTGACAATGTGTGCAGCGGGCACAGCCCCGGGGCGCTCAGCTGACCATTTCACCCTTGCAACGCAGGAGTCCAGCGGCACGCACACCTGTGGCCCAAGGCTCTTAATGAGAACTACTGCCTTTGCCGGAAGAGACAGCTATGAAAGCCGCCTCAAGAATGAGAGCATTGTGATGCATCCGATAATGCTTCGAGTGACTTTTCAAAAACTGATTTCAGAAGTAAACTTTTCATTCAGGAACAATTCATTTTACCTGGCAAGATGTCAACATGTACTTTCTCTTAACTTGCATCTTCCTGCTTCTACAGTGAAACGGAGTCTGAAGCTCGGCACAGCAGCCCTGAAACACTGCAGCACTCCGCACTGACTGAGGGTCCCTCAGGATGAAGGCCCTGCAGCCCAGCAGTCTGTCCCGAGCCCTCACTGCTAAGGCAATGCCGCATTCATCAGACCGCGTCATTGACGATGACATCTACTCCCGGCAAACTGGGTAACAGTGACCCATCTTTAAAAGTCCAGATGACATGACACTGGAGAAGGAGCCATTTCCTCCCACAGTTCTGCCCTAATTCTCACTTTATTATAGAAAGTTAATGAAATGACATGGTTCAATCAATCATCTTATTATGTCCTACTATACCAGATCAGTCCAAAGAATTCAATAACAAATGATGTCATGGGAGGTAACCCTTAAAAAACCCACTAATTTTCCTACAAACTTAATACCAGCAGAGGGCGTTCCTGAGTCATTCAGCAGTAATGACGAAGCCACAATCCTCAATTTAAGTTAAGTAATCAACAATCATAGTCCTCAGATGTACGTAGGGCATGAAATAACCTGCCAACAGTGTTCGGGGGAATCTGAACAATGGGACGGCTGTGGCAATAGTTTGGAACTACAACCGGCAAGGCTTTCGGCTCTCTGGAAACATGACACCATCTGGGGACCTCTGCTTCAAATCTACTAATAGAGAATTTTCATTTTCCTACTGTTTGAAATTCATGGCCCCTTACCCCTTCTGAGCAGTCATTCCCAGGAGTTACTGTAATTGTTTATTTTTGGAAAGCGCGGTATGTACCCTCGTCAACAAAGGATGACAAACATTTAGAAGCAATCCTGACACTGGTCTCGGCAATCATTTTTTGATTTGACACTAAACGAATAGGCAACAAAAAAAGCAAAAACAAGAAAGTGGGACTACAGCAAACTACAAAGTTTCTGCACAGAAAAGCAACTGCTCAACAAATGAAAAGACAACCTACAGAATGGGAGGAAGTATCTGCAAATCATTTATGCAATAGGGGTTAATATCCAGGGTACGTCAGAAACTCCTACCACTCAGTGGAAGAAAAATCAACTAAGCAATGGGCAAAGGGTCTGACTAGACATTTTCCGAAGAAGACATACGAAGGGCCAAGGGGCACTTGACATCCTGATCACCAGGGTACTATAAATCTAAGCCACAGTGAAATTTCACCTCACACCCGTGTGAACAGACACCATCAACAGACAAATGCTGACAAAACACTGCCGGGGACACGGAGCCAAGGGACCCGCGTGCTTGGAGAGGTGATGGAAGCTGGCACTGCCATTTTGGAAAACAGGACAGAGGTTGCTCAAAAACTACAAACAGAACCACCAGCAATCCCATTTCTGGGTATCAGCCCGGGAGAAATGACATCTGGACCCCCATGTTCATCGCAGGACAATTCACAATAGCCAGGACATGGAAATCATCCAGGAGCCCATTCACGGGCTGAGCATCTGTAATACACGGGTTGTACATGTGACGGGATATTCAGTCATGGGAAAGGAAACTCTGACATCTGCAGCAGCTTGGATAGACTCCGAGTGTGTAACGCTGGTGAAATGAGGCAGAGAAAGACACTGTGCCACCTGAGAAGGGCGGGAGGGGAACGCAGACTGTAGGATGGTGGCTGGCAGGGCAGGAAGGTGGGAAAAGGTTGGTCACAGGACAAAGAAAGCCTTCAGTTAGAACAGGAAAGCTCTGGGGATCTAAGGGCTAGCATGGTGACAGCAGGTAATACTGCTGCGCTGAGGGGAGAGCGTCAGCGTTCTCACCCTCCCCACGGCAACTGCATGAGGTGATGGATGTGCTGACTAACGGCTGTGGCAATCAATTAAATATAAAAATATATATATATAAGCATTGTACTGTATAACTTAAATATATCAAATTTTATTTGTCAGTCACATCTCGATAAAACTAAAAAGATCTTTCAGTTTTCACCTGCAACACCACGGGCAGCACCCATCCGCTGAGGCGGCAGGTCTGCCCACTGAGAGAGGCGGCCGTGTTCTCAGCCTCAGATGGCCGGGACGAGCAGCAGGCAGCAGAAGAGAAGCTCACGAGGAGCCTGCGAAAGAACAGCGACGAGGCAGGCAGTACGGTCGCGGGAGGAAATACAGCGGGCTCTCGGGGAGGGAGGCTGAAGTCATTTAGCGGAGTAGGACTGGCATGATGTTTCCATTCATTCACTTTTACAGTCAGGAAGAGAAAACATTGTCCAACAAGACAATAAGAAACATGCTACAGACTCACAGAATGGTTCTTTAGATGATTCTTGTTTCCTTTCGGGGGAAAAAACCTCAAGGCCAAGAAACACAAAAAGGCCAGCAGCATCCAGCCCCGGCCTCCAAGCCTCTTCTCACCACACCCACGCTCTTCTGCGCGTCCTGATTTCCTGAGCTCAGAGGGCCCGAGCCCCGCCCCCGCGGGCCTGTCCCTGCTGAGAGCCTCGGCTGTCACCGCCATCAGCACAGCAACCCCACCTCTTCGGTGCCCTCTGCTGCTCAGGGGACTCCGGCCCATGCTCCCTCCTGCCTAGCATAACGCGATACCGGCACACTCTGGGTGTCAAAGACACTCCCCTCTCCCAGCTAGCACACTTATGAGAGGGATCCTACCCTGGTTAGGTGTGGCCCACCGGCCAATGGCTGCCACCCAGGTCTCTCCTCCTAATGCTTAAACCATCTACGGAAGTTCTACCTCCAGCTGCTGGCCACAGTTCAGTGAAGGGCCAAGGTGAGGCTCGCTTACATAGGATGTGGGCATCTATCTTCTGCATAACCCAGGGCTCCTTGGAGTGTGCCATGAAAACCACTGCTCTGAACAGGACAGTGTCCGAAAGCCTGTACTAAGAAAACCTCTCCCACTCGAGGAGACCAGGGTGAGGGCTGCTATTTGCAAGCCTAATCTAGACCCCATATTAATATAAACTAAGCTCTTTGGGTGAACCCGAAACCCAAAGCTCTGCTTGGTGTAATAATTTCCTGCTGCGGTAACCTCTTAGGTATCACAAGCTAAATATTCTTAAACATCTCCTTGTAATTGCCCACCCGTCAAGCCTACTGTTTTACAATAAGCAAAGATGCCCTACATACTGGAATATCACAGAATGCCAGGAGGGGAAAAGAAGTTCTAGTCACAGAATAAAAACTAAAGGTCATCCATTATTTGCACTGCATTAAACACTCATAAATCCATTACTTAAGGTCATCTAGAGAGTAGATTTGTATTGCGGCTTTCAAGGTCTGTGAGTTACACAGTCATCAATAAAGGACAAGGAGAGAATACAGAGAAGGTCTCCTAACCTTTCCTCTTTGTTATTTACCGAATCTAGGGTGGATGGAGAGGAGGGGATGCATTCTGATCTTGACAACATTTCTCCCAGAGAGTTAAGCCTGAGGTGCTAAGATGATTTCACTGTCTTTTTAAGTAATGGACTCATTAATTCTCATGGATATTGATCAGTGCAGAAAATACATTACACCCTAATTAATGAGACTGTCTTTGTAAAAGGGGAAATGCTGCATAAAGTTAATTTGATTTTATAAATGATTTTATTAATGAAAATGGTTTTCTATGAAGTTTGAGATAATTTAGTACATCAGCAAAATTCAATATGGAAGCAGGCCTATTTGGTGATGTTACATTTTCTTAAAAAAACTGAAAGGCTCTTGGTGAAAGATATGCAGAGAAAAGGATTGCTCTCCATAAAAGTTTTCTAAATGAAACTACAGCGCACTGTGGGACTTGTCTATCGGTTCTGGGAGGCGTGGTAAGTACCGAAGATGGTGAGTACCCAAGAGATGGCCTTGCCTGGAAAGGGCAGAGGGTCAGGAGGCAGCTGACACAGACAGTTCTAGCTTGTGTGTTATGTACCAAACAACTGATTGGTACTGGGACAAGGTTTTTACATTAAAATGTGTACAGTACCAAATCTGACGAGTTTCAAAGCAACCAAGTACCAAGGTATGAGTGTACACTGCACTGAAAAACTACAATACACCAAGCTGGGGTGCAGCTGCCGTGGCAGAACCCTGGCCTAGCATGCACATCACCCCGAGCCTGATTCCCAGCACTGCAAAATAAAACAAGACAAACCAAATCCATAGGCTTCTTCCTCTGGGATACGGATCCCTCCTCGGTAACCTGGATCGTGACATTCAGTCTAAGGTTTGGCTCTTCACACGATAAAGACTTCTTCACAGCCTTGCTCTCTTACCTCTTTCTTCTTCAGGGATTTCACTTGGGTGACACCATTTATTACGTATGTAAAATAAACGGTCTGCTAACACGTTTTTAAAAAACATTAAAGTTTTAAGGGAGTACCAGGCGCCATAAATCAATATGAAATTAGCAGCCACATAGAGTATATTACTTACCCGGGGCAATGAACTGCTTAACGTTGGTGAACCTAGTCTTATCAGCCACGCTGGCCATGAAGCAGCCCTTGGGCACGGTCCAGTCACTAGCTTTGCTGCTTCTGTCCCTGTCTTCTGCTGTTTCATAGACCTCGATATGAGGGGGTTTCTCAGTCAGATTTTTGCTGTAATGACTCAGGCCATACTGTGCAATCTGGATTGGGTAGAAATAGCCTTGAGGTCCCCACTGTGTAGATAATGGCACACCTGTAAACACAGAAATAAAACGAATAATCACACCCAGATAGTACAAACCTACTCTGAATACCACTCCTCACAATTTTATTGCTGGGTTTTAGGTCTAGCAGCAACTTTGGAGCTTTCATAATTAGTAGAAATTGGTACCAAATTACCCAGAGGTGAAGTACTCACGCTTTCTCATTATTTGTTGATGGCCCTGCCATGTTACAAATTACCTTTCACAGATTCTCTACATGCATTACTTCCGCTACTAGCTACAGAGCTTTTATGATCCTGTCTCACAGATGCAAATTTTGTACAATTTAGAAGCACATACAGGTCACTACATTTTAGTCTAAATATTAATCCTGAATTTTTCTTGAACATTTGTACTTAACGATTTTGTTAACTATTTACTTGACTCTCCAGTGTCAAGGTATGATCTAATAATGAAGTACATCATCTGACAGTTAAAGTATTTGCTGAAGAAAGTTATACCCAGGCAACCTGAAATATAAACACAATTTGAAATTCTTTTTCATATCCTTCCTATCAAAATGTAATTCTTGGGATGGACATGGTGGCCCATGCCTGTAATCCTAGCACTCTGGAGGCTGAGACAGGAGGATTGCCATGCATTCAAGGCCAGCTTGGACCATATAGTAACTTCAAGGGCAGTCTGAACTACACAGGGAGAGCCTGCCTCAAAAAACAAAAGCAAAACAAAACCAACAAACCCTCAGAAAACAAAAAATACACTTATGAACAAGGCGTTCTTAAAAGATAGAATTTTATTTGACCACAGAGTCTTAAAATAATCCACTAGTGGATTATCTCAAGATGAAAAGCAAACATTTCAGTATCTGGTATTAGTGTTTTAGTGATGTCCTACTTGGGACCTACATCACTACACTGCAGACTGTTGAATCATGCTGCAGGCTCTGAGAGATGCGCTATTATCGGATTTGTTATTCTACAAAGAATTAACAAGTATCTGACTGGCACAACAGAGACTGGGGCCTACAAAATTACACGTGCTTTAATGCGCCTTCAAGGAACTAGGGACAGCTACGGTGTGAGTACGGTGTGTATGTGTCCCCGACGACTCTCGTGTTGGAAGTGTGGTCTGCAGTGCGCTGGTGTGGGAGGTGAGAGAATATTTAAGGCAGGAGTCTCCTTGTAGTGCAACTCTCCCAGGACCTCAGTCGCTTCTCCCAAAGGGTTGACATAAAAGGTAAGCCCAACTGGCCGGCCCCGTGCCCTGGCTCTGTCTCCCATGACCACTCACTCACCCCTCCACGCTGCTCTCTGAGATGCTAGCCAAGGGAATACTGAAGTCTCCACCAAACTACTACAGCAACACCTCAGTCCAAAAATGCTTCTGTTTGCAAGCAGTTTGGTTCACAGAAGTATTCGGCAAAACTTTGCTTCTGTGTACAAACTCCACATCGGGTGACAAACACGACCACGGGGCCATCTTCCCCACACATACACAAATGGAACCATCTTCCTCCAAGTCATAAAATAATTTAAGTTCATAAACCAAGATACCACTGCACTCTCCCAAATCCTTGTATAGGAAATGTCATTAAAAGCAGGACAAACATGTCTAACTATAAAGACCTTCAAGGAATATACAAAAATGGTAATAGTTATCTTGAAGAAGTGAGCATACATAGGTGAGTTTGTCGCCTTCCCCCTTCTAAACATTTCGTAAATGTTTAAAAACTTGTCTAAATAATAAAAACAGAGGCAAAATCCTGCAAAAGAATATACAGACTTCAATTTGCTAATGTGATGCATAAACACCTGCACTTCAGGCACAGGCTGTGCTCCGTGGGCCTGAGGAACCTGACAACATCCACGTCACCAGGTAGGCATGCTGCATTCCAAAGGGAAAATACACAGTAGGTGGAAAGCTTGTTTCGACACAGGTTTTATAAATAAATATTAAATCAAGCCTAGTATTAAAATGAAAATTGAAATTAAAATCACTTTATAACAAAATAAGGAAAACGGAATAAAATAAAAACCAAACCAAACAATCTCCAAACACACTGTTATTTATTCGGTTTAAATGATGTATTTTAGCCTGGTGTGGTGGCGCATGCCTGTAACCCCAGCACTTGGGAGGCTGAGACAGGAGGATCATTCCGAGTTTGAGGCCAGCCTTGGCTACATAGTGAGCTCAAGACCAGCCTAAACTGCATAGTGAGACCCTGTCTCAAAAAGACAGTAAATGAATGAATGAATGATGTACTTTAAAAGCAAATTCAATTTTTTTTTCCTGATCAATCCTATGTTTGAAAAGTAAATTCCTGGGGCTGGGGATATAGCTCAGGGGCATAAGTGCCTGCCTAGTAAGCACAAAGTCCTGAGTTCGATTCCCAGTACTAACAACAACAACAAATTATCTGAAAAGTAAATTCCAAAATGTACTAAGTACATCCAAATGCCCCAGGTTTTAAAGACAATGACAGCCAGTACAGATAGACTACAGGAGGTTGGTGTAAGTGTAGAACAAACAGTGCCTATATACGGCCTGGGCCTGAGGACTAGAACCGTCCCAGCAATGACACCCATCTGCCAGGTAATAAGACAGCGCTGGGATGGGCACCGCCCGGTGGGTATCCCTTCTATCTCATCTCGCAGGGCAGCACGGTAGCTCTCGGTCACTGGGACACAGTGCTTGAGGAGATCACTGCAATGCGGAACGACCTCGTCCGGCTCGTGGCTTCCGTCTGCGGCAGGCCGGCGGGCTCCACTGCTGTGGGCAGGACGTGGTGGCACAAGGTGTGCGGAGCCAGGCTGCTCGCCTCCCGGCAGCCGGGAAGCAGAGAGGAGAGTGAGACACAGCCCCGTCAGTGACCACTTCCTCTAACCAGGCCCCACCTCCTGAAGCCCAGTACCCCAGGGGTCCACTGACGACGCCGGAGGCCTCAGGGTCTCCTCACCCCACAAAGGCCCAAGCTCTGCATGCTGCTGCCCTGGGGACCAGCCCTTGAGCACACGAGCTGTGAGAGGACATTTCAGATTCCAACCCCAGCGGGTAACTGTACGTTACAAGCCAGTCTTGTGGACATGCTGGGCCTCGCCCCCAGCTGTGAGAACTCTAGACTCAGGCAGTGACGGAATAACCCTATTTACTCACGGTTCAGACCTAACCTATTCCTCCTTGTGAGGCGGAGCCACGAAAGGTCTCCTGCCCTGGCCTGTGCACCTGCCGTGTGGTTCACAGCACGGGTTCTTAGTCCTCAGCGTAACCAGGCTGGAGGCACGCAGGCGGAGGAGACAGACACTCACCTTCAACCCCACTTATGCACTTGACTCTGTCTCGGACTTCCACGTTGTAGCCTTCAAAGGACATGAACACCCCATCGGGGTGGTAAGGAGCTCTCTGTGCGTAGACTTTGGAATAGCTGTGTGAGAATTCAAACCGCTCGTAGCCATCATACTGGACCACCTTTCCATAAACGTCAAAGTATTTCTCTACCCACGTGAATGGAAGAAAGACTTCGTTCCCCTCTCGTCTCCCTTTAATCGTGTGTTCGTCATTTATGAGACAGTCAATTTCCTCGTATTTGAGCCCCAGCACCTTGCTTCCCCCATTGCTGTTGAAACCCCCGACGACAGGGGGCGCTCTCTGCTGCTCCTGGGGCAAGGCCTCCTCCGAGTGCGCTCTGGCCCCATGGTTCAGGTAGTGGTTACTCTCGGACGCCGCTGCTCTTTTCTCTAATCCATCCCCTCGGAAGCCGCCATTCAAATGTCGCGGAAACTGGACTGCTTTATCCCTGGAGCACTTGTTCCACAGAAGTACCGTGACCAGAGTGAAGAGTGCACAGATGACAATCAAAGTCTTGTAGTTGACCCGGGCTGCCAAGCAACGCATATTCAGACCATACCTATGGAGGCAAGAAGAAAAATTCATGCAAACATGTATTACTGACGTTGCATAGGACAAGTACTTTTATTCAACACCTGTATCAGCTCAATTTTATTAACGCTTCTAATCTGGTCAGACTTAAAATTACTAACTCAAATTTTCAGCATGAACGAAGAAATGATGAGATGTGTTCTGCCCTTTAGCAAAGTGCGCAGGTAGCATAACCCTCCACAGCAGCGGTGTCCACATCTCCTTACTTTGCGTTCTCTTGCTATGCCAGTGTGGCTTTCATAATGCCCCTTAAGCCAAAAGGAGTGCTTTATCGTTTCCTTTTTAAGTAGTTAGGACCAAGTCACTTAAGTATTTATGTCCTAATACCTTAGCTGCTGCCTGGGAAAAGCCACACCGGGCTTTTCAAGGAAAAGCACTGACATCTTTGCTTTCAAACCCAACTGGGAATTTGTGGTGCTCACACTATGTGACCTGAGCAGCACGACACGACACCTGACACAGCCGGCAGACTTCTTCCTGGAGCTTTTTTGCCCCAGTTTCGGAGGCGCCATACTCTCATGGTGCTACCACACTGACTGCCTCCCACCTTCTTTGAGGCTTCCTTCCCGACTTCCTGCTCCTGAAATGCTGCAATGCTCCTGGGAGTTCCCATCCTCAGGCCCCTTTGTCATTCATTTCTGAGCAGTCTCTTTAACACAATTTATACGGACCATCCCCAAATTCTATCTCCAGGCCAGACCTTTCTTTGGAATTGCAGACACGTGTATTTCCAAGTTACTGCCACCTTCACTGAGGTCCAAAAGTTCATGAAAAACACTCACAACTTCACCGCCCATCTTTTCCATCAACCCATCCCTCCCTCCCTACTGCTACGTGCATAAACCTCGACTCTTCTCTTGCTCACCCCCATCCAATCAGTCAGGAAAACCTGATGGCTCCAGCCTCAAATTATACCCAGAATCTGACTTCTCTTCACCAGCTGCACTATGACCACCGCGTCAGAGCCACAGCTGTTTTCTCCCGGAATCCCGCAGTGGTAGCTCCACCAGCCTCTCTGCTGCGACCTTTGCCTTACTCCTCCACCCCCAAGTCTAATCTCAACACCGCGGTCAGAATGATGTTTTCATTTAAGTCACATGATGTCATTTCAGTCCTGATGAGAGAAGCTGACTTTGCTGGTCTTCCTGGCCAGAGGGTGTGTCAGGTGGCTATGCTCACAATGCCGGGGTTACCAGGAAACGTGAGGATTTATGCGAGTCACCTGGGCAATGTACGGCAGATTCCAGCCTGCCAAGTAAAGGGAGCAGTCCCGGTCATGTTGATCACAGTCACTCTATAATTTACTGTACGGTGTGAGTCCACAGCTACTTATTGTATTACATGCAGCCCTTCCTTATTCTCCCTACAATAAGCATTTTTTACAGTAATGAGATAAAAATACAAACCTCAGATGAAAAAAAAAATGTTATTTTTGAGGCAGCCTTGTAGTTCAGGCTGGCCTCAAACTCAAGACAGTCCTCCTGCCTCAGCCTCCAGAGTGCTGGGATTATACGTGTGTGCCACCACGCCCAGCTTCAAATGAAAATATTTAATGAAAAGTAACATGCTGGATTTCTCCCTTCCTCTGGGCCTCACACGCTAGGTAAGTGCTCTCTCACTACACTATACTCCTCAGCCCCTTTACATTTTTTATTCTGAGACAAGGTCTTACTAAGTTGTCCAGGCTGACGTTGAACCTGGCATCCTCCAGTCTCAGGCTTCAGAGCTGCTGGTATTACAGGCATGCCCCACTGTGTCTGGCAAATGCCGGATTTCTATTCCTTAAGAAAGGTGTGCGTGAGGGGCTGGGGATTTAGCTCAGTGGCAAAGCGCCTGCCTGGCAAGCGCAAGGTCGTGAGTTCGGTTCC